CGCCTCAGAATGTCTCTCTGACCTTGGGTAACAACAGCACTTTCTGTTTTCCAAGACTGTCAGGCTCCTTAAAGATTTGTCTATTTCTTTGCTTGCTTTGAGACACTCCTCATTATATAGTGTAGGCTGTCTTCCAACTCACCATTCTCCTGTCTCCGCCTCCCAAGTGTTGAGATCAGAGGCATGTGACACCACATGGCCTTCTCCGGAGATATTAGGCATCCACTGTCTTTCATATGCCTGCCATCTATACTCTTTATTGGATTCTCTCGCTGGATAAACATGGTTCCTCTCCCCAGACGGGTTTCTGAAGAATTGTTTCTATTCTCTGCCCTGATTCCCTGGCCACCCACTTCACTCTTAACCTTCAGCTTTCCAACTTCCACTCTGCTTGCTCCTCCCCTTCACTCACCTGCCTCAGCTCCCGCCTGGCATCCTTCCTAGTCAATTAACTATGCCTCTCTTTCTTGTTTCACTGTCCAATTATGTTTGATGTTCTTCACCATCTTCCTAGTCTGGGCTCCTAGGTGAGTCCACAACTGTGAGAACTTTCCTTTTTTAACCTTTTCCTCTATTCCCCATGGCTTGACTTTGTACTTTGCTCAGGGTGACAGGCTAACTACCATGCCTCTGCTACTTGACCCCTTCTATATCCAGCTCTCAATCTTGTACTTCAGCTCCAAGTCGAAGGCCATTAGGTTCTAGTTCAACATGTCAATAGCCAGTTCTCAGTGATTGCCAAGACTGTACCACTGAAAGAAATGATTTGGGTTAAGCAGGATAATGTTTGTTTCCTTTTGCTTTGTTTTATGACACTACAGATTGAACCCAGGACCTCCCAGGACATGAACCCCCATGAACCCAGGACATACTAGGCAAGTCTTTACTACTGAGTTGTATCTCCAGCACTTTTTTCACTTAAAAAATGGATGCAGGGTCTTGCTTAGTTGACCAGGCTCACCACGACCTTTCTGTGTAGCCCAGGCAGGCATTCAACTTGAGATCATCCTACCTCAACATTCTATAGAGCTGGGATTACAGGCCTGTACCACTAGGTCTGACTGAGAAAGTGACTTAAAAGCTTTGTGATATTTGGATGGTAGAGTTGAATGGTCATTATTTTGTCTTCATAAGAGCATTTTCCAGGCTGAGCTTGGTGGCACAAGCCTGTAATCCCAGAAATTAGGAAGTGGACACAGGAGGTTCATGAGTTCAGGGCCATTCTTGACTATACAGCCAGTTTGAGAACAGCCTGGGTGATGTGGCTACATGAGACCCTAGTGCTTAAAAAAATTTAAAAAAGCATTTTCCAGAGTACTCCACTTGCATCTTTAATAGTAGGATCTAGACGGAGGGACCAAGGAAGACATAGATAGCAATCACCCACATGATGGCCAGTATGCTCTTCCTAGGGGAAGGAGCCTAGGGGTATGGCAGAAAGAAGGGGAGATGGAGAATATGCTTATGAAATATTATTTATTAACATCTTCTTCATGAATTTATTCACACATGGTTATAAATACATTGAGGCAGAACCTATTCGCCAACTTTACATACTTGCACATAGTTAATATCTTAGATGTTCTTGTGGCCAATTGTCTGTCTGTCTTTCTCTTTATGTGCGTGTGCATGTGTATGCAAGTATTTGTGGATGTGCATGCATGTGTATGCATGTGTTTGTAGAGACTAGAGGACAAGCTCACATTTCACTCCTCCTCAGGCATGGTCCACCTTGTCTTTTTTTAAAGATTTATTTTTATTTATGTGTCTATGTGTGTGGGGGTGCCTATGGAGGCCAGAAGAGGGTATCAGATCCCCTGGAGCTAAAGTTAAAGGTGGTTGTGAGTCACCCAACATGGGTCCTGGGAACCAATTCCAGTCCTCTAGAAGAGCAGCAAGTGCTCTTACCTTAACCACTGAGCCAGCTCTTTAGCGCCGCCATCTTGTTTGTTTTTGTTTTTTTCAAGACAGGGTCTCCTGGTAGCTTCAGCGGGCCTGGAACTCACTATGCAGACCAGGCTGGTCTCGATCTCACAGAGATCCACCTGCCTCTGCCTCCTGAGTGCTGGGATTAAAGGCTAATCCTCCACAACAGACCTTCCACCATGTCTTTTGAGACAGGGTCTCTCATTCGTCTGGAGCTCGCCTAATTAAGCTAAACTAGCCGACCAGCAAGTCCCAGGGATCCACCTGTCATTACCTCCGCAATGGGATTACAAGTGTGTGACACCTTACCCACCTTAAAAAAAAGAGATTTATTTTTATTTTAGCAATTTATTTAATGTGTTTGAGTGTTTTGCCTGCATGTATGGAAGTGCACCATATGTCTGATGCCTGAGGAGACCAGAAGAGGTCTATGGATCCTCTGGAAATGGAGTTAAGGGGCAGATGTTAGCTACCATATGGGTCTTTTTGAGACAGTCTCCTTGTAGCCTCAGCTGGCCTAGAACTCACAGAGATCAGAAATAAAACTTCAAAAGATTCAGTTATATGTGCTAGGGATGTAGCTCAGCAGTCAAGTGCTTGCCTAGGATGTGCAAGGCTCCAAGTCCCATCCTCAGCACTACACACACTGACAAAATAAGAATCAGGGGCTGGAGAGATGGCTCAGCGGTTAAGAACACTGACTGTTCTTGCAGAAGACCTGGGTTTGAATCCCAGCACCCACATGGCAGCTAACAACTGTTGGTAACTCCAGTTCCAGAGAATCTGACAGCCTCTTCTGTCCTTCATGGGCACTGCATGACACGAGTGCACTTACCTTCATGCAGGCAATACATACATACACATAAAATAAAAATAATAAATAAAATATTAAAAAAAAAGATTCAGAGGAAGTCCCCTGACACCCCTTACTCCAGCCCCTTCTGGTTGCATTAGCCCCTCTGGGGTGATTATCTCTTCCATGCATGTTTTCATACTCTCCCCATTTATATGCTTTGTTGTTGTTATTTTTAGACAGGGTTTCACTCTGTAGCCCTGGCTGGCCTGGAACTCACTGTGTAGACCAGGCTGGCCTTGAACTCACAGAGATCTGCCTGCCTCTGCCTCCCCAGTGCTGAGATTAAAGGCGTGCGCCACCACATTGAGCTTACATGTTTTTATTTATTGATTGAGTGATTGATTTACTTATTTATTTTTATTTTACATGTATGAATGTTTTGCCTACATGTATTTAACTGCACCTATACATGCAATGCCCAAGGAGATCAGAAGAGGTTGTTGGCTCCCCTAGAACTGGAGTTATGGTCGGTTGTTAGCCATCATGCATTTTTAAAATATCTGTGTTGAGGGGCTGGAGAGATGGCTCAGTGGTTAAGAACACTGATTGTTCTTGCAGAAGACCCGGGTTTGAATCCCAGCACCCACATGGCAGCTAACAACTGTCTTGTCTGTAACTCCAGTTCCAGGGATCCGACGGCCTCTTCTGTCCTCCGTGGGCATTGCATGACACGGGTGTGCTTACCTACATGCAGGCAATACACTCATACACATAAAATAAAAATAATAAATAAAAATCTTATATCTGTCTGAGATATAATTTGCATTCATAAAATGCACCATTTTAACCTACATTGGAATGGTTTTCATTCAACTTACTGAATTGTGCAACCATTACGACAATCCAGTTTTTGCTTTTATTTAACTAATAACTTTATTGAGATGTAATTCACATCCCATTAATTTCACTTATTTAAATATTTTATTTATTATTTTTATTTTATGTGTATGAGTGTATTGCCTGAATGGATGTAAGTGCACCTGTGTTGTGCAATGCCCACAGAGGTCAGAAGAAGATGTCAGATCCCCTGGAACTGTACTTACCGATGGTTGTTAGTCGCCATGTGGGTGCTGGGAATCAAACCAGGATCCTTTGCAAGAGCAGCTAGTGCTCTTAACCGCTGAGCCATCTCTCCAGTCCCTAATTTCACTTATTTAAAGAGTATACTTCAGCCAGACATGGTGGCACACGCCTTTAATCCCAGCACTTGGGAGGCAGAGGCAGGCGGATCTTTGTGAGTTCGAGGCCAGCCTGGTCTACATAGTGAGTTCCAGGACAGCTGGGGCTACAGGGAGACCCTGTCTCAAAAAGATTAAAAAAAAGGGTATACTTCAGCTGGGCCTGGAGGCACACACATGTAATTCCCACATTCAGGAGGCATAGACAGGGGATCATAAATTCAAAGTTAGCTTGGGTTACAGGATGTGCTCCCATCTTTCCCCCCAAAAGTATACAATTTTTAGTTGGTTTTAGTATACTCAGAATTAATCAACTATCACCACTATCTAATTGTACATTTTTATCATTCTTGGAGAAAAAACCCTATTTATAAGTCAGTCCTTGTCCCCCTGACTCCCAGCCCCTGGCACCCATTTATCTGTCTCTGTGTCTGTGGACATTGCATATGAATGGAACTGTGTGCAGGGTGGTCTTTTGTGACTGGTCAAACGCTATCATAAAGATGCATTTGGGGCTGGAGAGATGGCTCAGCAGTTAAGAGCAATGACTGCTCTTGCAGAGGACCTGAGTTCAGTTCCCAGGACTGACAAAGCAGCTAACAACCGTCCATAACTCCAGTTCTAGGGGAAATCCTCTGACCTCTTCTGACCTTCTCAGGCATTACATGACACAGGTGCATTTACACACATGGAGGCAATACACTCATACACATAAAATAAAAAAAAATAATAAATAAAAAGATGCATTTATGGAGTAACTACTGCATACTAAATGCTGCTCCTGGAAATCTTTGGGAATTTGATAGCATACACACGTAGTTTAGATTTTCATTTCTATACCTTCTAGTTTATGGTATTTTGGGTAAAACTGTTACTAGAGAGTTTACTGTAAATAAAATCTATGAGTGTGAGTGTGACTAATGTGAGTGTTGTGCCTGAGGGGGAGTGAGGGATGGGGGGTGGGGAGTCAAATCTAGCACTCACTGCTACCATGAGCTCTGAGTAAGATAGAGTGTGTTACTTTCTCTCTTGCTCCTAAGACAATTGGTGATGGAAGAACAGGTGACTGACCACCTGCAGAGATACCTGGATGAGATTTACCACCTCAAACAATATCTGGCCTGCACTGAAGAGAAAATGGCCTATTTGTCCTATCAAAGAGCCAAGGAAATATGGGTGAGGACCTCAGGGAGAAGGGGCTAGTGAGAAGGATGTAGGGATAAACTATTTGCATGTCCTCAAACCAAGGCAGCCCAGATCTATCCTCTAGCTGGGTCTGTCCTGAGAGTACAGTGGTAACCCACACCTTTGCTTTGGAGCCAGTGCTCTTCACCCTGTATGTCTGCATGAGCCCAACTCCCCATCATCCAGCTGAGCTGCTTTGGAATTTTGACACTGTGCTTCTCACCCTTCACAGGCAATCACTGGGTCAGAGCCCAGAGCCTGTGACCCATAGATCAGGGGTGGAGCCTGACAAGCCCTGGGATCCTGGGATGCTTGCATTGCTGGTGCAGGAAAAGCCTCTGAGAACTCCTCCACACTCATAGCTCCAACTCATGTCCTTCGTTAGCCCTGTCCCACCTAGGTCCTCAGTCTCAGGAAATAATGGACAGGGACTATGACCAACCAGCTCAGCCCTCCACAGCAACTGTCTGTCTCTGCTATGCATGTCCTAGAAGCTCTCCATGTCTCTCCTAAAATATTCAAACTAACAGTGCTTCTTACACATCCCCTAGCAACTAAATTAGATAAGCATAGTTCTGTTGTGACTTCTGCTGAGTGTATGTGTTTATTGCCTGTAGGACGTAATGGAGACTTTCAAGGGCAGAATATCCAAGTTAGAAACCCTACAGCAAACCACCCAGCTGGAGATGATGACCAACCTCAGAACCTGTCCCAAGGACTTTTTGTTTAGATTCATAAGCCTGCTCCTCACGCTGACCACCATCCTCTTGGTCTTGGTCTCCACATTGTGCTCCTGCCCCTTGGAGCTGGTTAACTCACGCCTACGAGCATTCGTTATGCTCATACTGATTGGCCTTGGAGTCTTGGCCTGGCAAAAGCAGCTCATCATCCCCATCACGGACTGGAAAGCCTGGGGCTCCCTCAAGTGGAGACCAGACTTCAAGGACGCGAATCTTCCACCAGATGGACATTGAGGCACTAGGAGTGACACCCACATGAGTTTGTTCCCTCCCTACCTCCAGGTGTTAAGGGCATCCAGTGAACCCTCCATAGGGCTCTCAATTTCTTATTTCTGTAACCCCAACAGTATAAGACACATGCAGATGCCCACCTGCCTTCCCCTTCCATTCTGTCATGATCCTTCGGTGCTATGTATAAACATGGGACTTATAAAGATTAAAATCCATAGTGTGCTGGTCCCTGTGTCCCTTGTACTCCCTTGAGATCTGATGACTGAGTGCTCAGCAGCTTGGGTGACTCTAAACTGTAGTAATAGTCACTGGGACTTGGTTTAGACAAAGGGAATCATGTTTATTTCACAAGGATGGAGGAGAAGGGAGTGGAGACTTAGACAAAGCTTCAGTAGGTGGGACAGCTTAGAGGCAGACCTCATGCAGGTGACACTGAAGACACAGATGAGGCCTCCGTCTTGGAGGTGCTGGAAAGTTCAGAGCTATCATCAACCTTCTTCCCAAAAAGCTGTAAGATGCAGTTTTGAAACTAGAGGAACAGAAAGCATTATTGAGCAAAGCATGGAGGGGCAGTGCACTGTGCTAACAGTGAGTCTTGGAATGTTACTGCCACTCTGTTGACCTACACCTTCCCTTCTCCCATTCAAAATCTTCATTGAGTTCTGGGGCATTTTGAATTTGATCTGCCTGTACTGTTGCTTACCTGCCGGTTCATAAAGACATAGATAATGGGGTTGTAGATAGTGGCACTTTTGGCAAAGTAGGCTGGTAGGGCGGCCACAAGAGGGTGGAAGGCATAGCCAGGGTGGGCAGTGGCAAAGCACACGAAGAAAGTGTAGGGTCCCCAGCAGAGGCAGTACGCGAAGACCATCACCACCACCATGTGCGTCACCTCCTTTTCAGCCTTCTGGGTGGACTCAGATTCTTTCTGCTGCTTTGCCACCTGGAGAAGTCAAGGACAGTGGGTGGGGGAGTCAGCCAGACCTCTGGATCTGAAGGGCCCTGCTGTTATTCTATTGCATTGAGTTGGGGTAGGGCAGCAAGAAGAGGATGACCTAGGGAGGTCTGTGGAGTAGGAAGTGGCTCACCCACTACCTCAACCCTACTTCCACCCCTGAGTCAGAAAATGACCTGACTTGGGACACAGAGTGGCCTTGGGGCTGGCGTTGGAGGAGTTCTTGTAAGGCCTTGAGGCAGTAAGCAGCTGACCTGGCCAAGAAAGGCCCTGTGGGTCAGACCTTTGAACCCTTCACAGCGTCACAGAAACTTGGGAAGGAGAACTAAAAGGCTGAACTTAGCCCTCAGCAGATCCTTTCTGGGAGCATCTAGTCTTATGCTCAGGTTTGAGTCCAAAGGCCTAAATCAAGCACCAGAAGTCAAATTGGCTTTAGCTAAGCCAGGGCCAGCAAGGTGCCTGGTCCCTCAGACTTTTCTAAAGCAGGACAGAGGCCAACTAGTACCTGCTATGGAAGGCTAACTGATAGCAGGCGGGTCATTCAAAAAGGAGCCATGGGGGCTAGAATCCATTGAGGGCTGGAACACCATAGCTGACTTTGCTAGCCCAGAGCTAATACTGCTGAAGCTGGGAAGGCCCTTAGGGAGCTAGCTAAAGTGGTATTGATACCAGACTACCAACCCAGGAGCCAAATTACAGCCTTCAGTCCAAGACAGTGAGGTGACAGGAGCCTCCTACCGGAGCCCATGGCCTCCTCTAGAAAGAGCTTGTAAACACCTGATCCAGTTGTGGGCACAAAGTAGCTTCATATAGGAAAAGCACCACCTGCAGGGACTTCTCCCACATATGCCAGCTAGGGTCCCAGCAGTTAACAAATGGCACATGGAGTAAATGATAGGGGACTTGGTTGACAAAGGGACAATTTATGCTGGAGAGAGCACAAGAGGAACATAGAGCTCTCAGCATCCCAGGACCCAGCCTCCCCATTCTTACTCTCATTTTTTGCAGCCCTCACCCCGCAGTGGTGTCATGACCTGAAGCTGGAGCAGGGACTGGTGATAGACGCAACTTCCTAGGATGCAACCCTAAACATAGGATGGTAGAGAGCAGGTCTGAGAGCAAATGCTCCTTTCCAACAGCCCTGTGAAGGGGATGTAGGTGCTCTGCTGGTTACACTCTGTGGAAGAACTGTCCTAGTCAGGGGAAGACACAGCTTTGCTCCTTCACTGGGTCCTCTACGAAGGAGTAGGCAGTCTCATTCCATCTTGCAAGGGTGAGGACAAGGGAGCTGGTGTTGAGATTGAAATAACCTCATTTATCCCCCCAAAGAACTGCCTGCTTCGCATTACTGAGCGTTTTGTTTTGGTTTTGAGGTATGGTCTCATGTAGACAAGATCAGCCTTGAATTAGCTATGTAGCAGATGAGTTTGAATTTCTGATCCAGCAAAGGTTGACCTTAACTTCTGGTCCTTCTGCCTCTGCCACCCGAGTGCTGGAATTACAGGAGTGTGCCACCATTTCCAGTTTATGCAGAGCTGGGAATGGAGCCAGGGCTTCAACATATGCTAGGTAAAGTACCTTACCAACTGAGCCACATCTCCAATCCTGTACCACTGGGTCTTAATATTTGCTTATACAGATGGGATTTCTTTATATGGGAATAAAAATAGTTTAAGAGACACAATAGACTGGTTTGGGAGCAGTGAAGCAAGGAGCCAAGAGAGTGATCTGGTGCACCTCTGTCCTGGCCTAGACATCCTGTCCGCCCAGGGGGAAAGTAGGAAGGCAAGGCGCTTACTGTTCGGATGGCCAGCCACACTTGGAGGTAGCAGAGCAGGATGATGCTGAGTGGGATGATGCAGCATGTGATCATGAGGACCACCATATAAGACTGAACTCCAGGGTATGAGGTGCCACTGAACACATCTGGTCCACATGATGTCTTCAAGCCATAAGGCCAGTACCTAAAGAGAAGTAACCTATCCTGATCCAGGCTGGGGCAATTTGGAACCTGCCCACCCAACCCAGGCACACTCTTGACTTGGGTCAGGTGTTTTGTTCTGTTTTGTTGTTTTGTTTTGCTTTGTTTTGTTTTGTTTTGTTTTGAGACAGGGTCTCACTGTGGCTGCAGCTGGCCTGGAACTCACTATGCAAATCAGGCTGGACTGGAACTCACAGAGATTCGCCTGCCTCTGTCACCCAAGTACTGGGATTAATGACTTGCGCCACCATGCCCTGGTGGGTCAGGGTTTTTTAAAAATATTTTTCAATTTACTTTATTTTATGTGTATGAGTGTTTTACCTTCATGTATGTGAGTGCACCTGTGCATGCAATGCCCATGGAGGCCAGAAGAGGGCATCAGATCCCCTGAAACCAAAGTTACAGATGGCTGTTAGCTGCTGTGTGGGTGCTGGGAACTGAACTTGGGTTCGCTGCTAGAGCAGCCAGTGTTCTTAACTGCTGAGCCATCTCTCCAGCACCTTTTTATTTTTTATTTTTTGTTATTGTTTTGTTTTTGAGACAGGGTTTCACTGTGTAGCCCTGGCTGACCCGGAAGTCACTATGTAGACCAGGCTGGCCTAGAACTCACAGAGATTTGACTGCATCTGCCTCCCTAGTGCTGGGATTAAAGACTTATGCCATCACACTTGGCAGGTCAGAGGCTTTTTAAATGGAGAAGAAATGAACCAATTTGAAGTGAACAAGTCCATGGTATTTCATACCTACCTGCACAATGTTGTATGACCACCTCCTCTACTTCTAGAACATTCTCATCACCTTAAAACTCTCAGGAAAGATTTTGGCAAATCTTTGTTCATGTATAGATTACATGTCCCATCTCTTTTCTTTGTGGCAAAATTTCATAACATAAAATTTGCTATTATTACATGACATTCAAGACTTTCCCAAGGTTGTGCAATTATCAATACTATCTGGTTCTGGAATATTTTCATCACTCATCATATCCCCTTTTCTCAAAGGGGCGTGAGGCTTCTTCTTCATACACCTGTGAATGCCTGAATTTTTTCTGATGCCAGTTTAGGCCAGGGTTATAATGAAGGGACATGCTTATGGGGTAGCCATGAGGATGAAATAACATTATCCAGTCTGAGCCTCCACCAGGCCCGTCACTAAGCCATGCTTAGTTTCTGGCATCTGTCGTGGCCCTGAAGGGAGGAGGGTGGGAGAGGAAGACACTTTCACAAGCTTGTTTCCCAGAATGTCAGAAGATTCCCAAAGAAAGAGCATCCCCTGTCCAAATGCCACAAGAACTCACTCAGGATTGTCACATAGAACAGTGAAATGCATTGCCCATGTCTCATTCCTCCCAATCAAACATCTGAGCCATTTTCTCATCAATTTGAGTATTTTACACAAAGGATGGCCTGGCTAGGATACATGACCTCCATGACCCAGTATACCTATATCCCTTAAATCCTCTGAACGTGGTAGGATAGAATGTATGGGAAAGAGGCCTGGCATGGAGCTGGCAAGAAGGCCCTGGAATCCAAATGTGCCCTTAGTCTGTTCACTTACTCTGTAACCCTAGGCTGGCCATTTCAGGTTTTCCCAGTGCTCTTGTGACCTGTTTATGGTTGGGAGAAATATTTCCAGAGTCTATGGAGTGGGCCACAGGGCCCCTTTTGATGTTGCAGTCAAACACATCCATACACTCACGTACATGCTGCACCAGGAGTCTGGGGAATGTTTCCTCCTTCCTGCTGTATGCCGGGAGCCCTGCAGGTCCCTAGAACAGAAGTGACTTGCCTCAAGGTCACAGTCTAAACCTCTCTGCTTGATCCTACAGGGAACACTTTCCCAGCACCATCACACTCTTACCTGCTCCAACCAAAGACTGGTGGGGCCGTCCACACAGCAGCCCAGACCCATGCGAAGGTGATGCCCATGGTGGCCAACTTGGCGTCAAATCTCACATTGCCAAAGGGCTTGCAGACTACCATCCACCTCTCCCAGGAAATGATGGCCAGGGACCAGAGGCCTGTGATGCCTACAGGGGGAGAGCAGATAGATGGGGACTTCAAGCTGAACAAAGGATAAACTGCCTCTGCCATACCTGCTTCCTCTTCATACTAGCTGAGAGCTTTAAAGATCACAACTTTCCCTCCAAGCTGCCACATCAAATCCTCTGCAATGTTCTCAGGTCTGGAGTGCAGTGGGTCCCTTAGTAAATGGCTGGCTTTTCAGTCCATTTCTCTGACATATGTGTCTCACCTTCCTTCCCCATGTCCTTCAGGCTCGTCTGCTTTATTTCCCTGCTGAACTCAATGGCTAACCTTATTCCCCTGTCTTCCTACTCTATCCCTTCTTTTTCACCTTCCTCCTAACCTCGACTGCTTTCCCTCTCAAGTGCGATGTTCTCGCTCCTAGTTTGGTCACTGAGTTTTGTGACCAGTCATAGAATCCTGAAGCCAGGAACTTAGAACTCTCACAGTTCAGCATCCATACCAAAAAGAGGCAAGAAAGAGCCATGGCAGCCGAGGGCCTTGTACTTGTGTGTCCACAGGGGTCCTGTAAGTTCTTTATTCCTCTTGGCCTCCAGGACTTCCTTTCTCTGATGCCATTGATGGGATTCCCGGCATCCATGGCCCCACTTGCATGACCATACTAAGGTGTCATTGTCCCAAAGAAATGAGACATGTCAAGTCTTCTGGCTGGTTTGTTGTTCCTTTTGGTGTCTGGGGACAGCTCAAATTCTCCCCACAGTTTGGAAGGTAACACATCGTCTCACATTTGTACATTCCAAAAGTATGCACACAGGTCTCAGAGACTCGTGAATCTGGGTGGGAAATGGTGTCTTGAATTCCACTAACCTCTAAAGGACACTTGGCATTACCTTATATCATAAACGTGGCAGCATTAACAAGATCCTGACTCGGTCAGCCAGAGAAGGGACAGATGTTCTCACATCACCCTACAGGAGTGTCAGATTTTCTGAAATGTCACTCGTTTTCATCTTTTTCAACTTTTAATGGTTGTAAGATCACATCCTTGTTTGTAATATTTTGGTACAGAATACCGTTGCTAATGCTTTCAGTGCATACTTTTAATACTAATGCTTTTAATGAAAAACTATCATCAATATTAAAAACTTTAATACACATTTTTCAATATAATTGTCTGCTTTTGCAATGCTATGGATCTCATTTTATGCATTTGCAAACATTTTCAGAGAGCCATAGGATTCCATTCCACTAAAATCTTGCTGGCTGTTCCACACCTGAGCAGTCCAAGAACATACCCAGAATGGGGGTAGAGGCTGAGAAGAAGCAGAGCCAGGCATGAGATGCCATTTGGGAAGGGCCACGTAGGCACCACTGTGAGCACTTGAACTGGGAAGAGAGACTTTCCTTGATCTTTCTAACCACTCTGCTTCTATACTTTTGGAATGCTGCCCAGCATTCCCTCTGCTCTGAGTCCCATCTGCTCAATCGGCGAGGAGAGAGGGGATGATGAGGAGTCAAGAGTGGGAGCAGCTACTGCTAGATGTCTGTTGGGTGCACAACTAGGCAAGTAGGGCTGCAATCAGGTGTGTTGGTGGGTTTCCCACCTACAGTCTTAACCTCTCAAAGTCTCTGCTCATAACCACAACATTGAAAGCCCCCCTTCTCCTGTCTGCTTAGCAGGGTCATGCTGCTCTTCAGTACACCATCTCCAAGACTTCCAACTACCCTGGCATCTCCTTACCATCTCTTGTGAGGGACTGATGGAGGCACTGTGCTGTCACCATCTGGTTACAGGGCTTCTCCCCAGCACAGAGCCTAACACACTAGTACTTCTTAACTACTATTTTTTATTATGTTTATTTATTTATTTACGTGTGTGTGTGTGTGTGTGTGTGTGTGTGTGTCTGTGTCTGTGTCTGTGTCTGTGTCTGTGTGTGTTGCCAAGGTGCATATGTAGAGGTCAGAGGACAACTTTCAGGAGTCAATTGTCTCTTTCCAAGTGAGTCCCAGGGATCAAACTCTGGTCATCAGGCTTAGCAACAAATGCTTTCACCCAGTAAACCATCTCACCAGCCCTCATCCACTATTTATTGACCTATGTAAATCTTGACCTACATAGGATTAGTGATGGGGGTGAAGAAAGAGTCTGCAACCTGATGGGAACAGTGTCTTTCCCTGGGAATAGCTCATCCACTGGTATGGCTAGCAGGCGATTGTCTCCAGTCTGAGAGACAAGATGAAAGCCCACACATCCCCAGTTTGGGTAGAAGTCTATGCAGGGTACTCAGAGCCCCCTCCTATACAGTTCTGGAATTATCTGGCTCAAGTTCTGGCTCATGTGAACCCCCCAGCCTCAAACTGGCTGTCCCTAGTCAGAGCCTGCACCTAAAGTAGGAACTCAGGGTATGTTGGACTCAAGTAAACTGAGTTTAAACTGAGTGTCCTTGCGGAAACCTTCAGAATCCTGTAAATCTGTCTTCCAATCCCTCTGGTGACCTTGATCCAGCTTTTCCTGTGAGTTATTTCCCTTCACATTGTGCCTTGCACATGCATACCATGAGTGCACCTCAGGGTATGCTGTGTGGTTTTATTTAAGCACACCAGGCTGAGTCTCCTTCAGCTTACCACACAGGGACACAGTGTAGCCTTCTATGACACACAGAGGGTGGCCCAGCACGAAGTAGCCATAGATCTGGTTCACAACACTGATGGTGCTAGCAATGATGGTCTCTGCTAGGTCGGCGACTGCCAAGTTTACCAGAATCCAGTTCAGAGGATGACGCAGTTTCTTGAACCTCATGGTGGCCACCAGCACAAGCCCATTAGTGAAGATGGATGCAACGACCACAAGGATCATCCAGGTAGTGGTGAGGTGGTACACCCATCTGGGAGCAATGTGGTAATTGGGGCCTTCAAAGGGACCTGGAGGCAAGAGGGACAAAACATGGAGAGTAGCTGGATCACAGCCTCGTGCAGCTCTGCCCGTCATCACCCTGATCTCACTTTTCCCTGCTCTATGGGGGCCTCGCTCATGAGCCCCCAATCCAATAGGACTGGTGTCCTTATAAAAAGGACACAGACATTTGCCACTACTGTTTTTGGCAGAATACTTGGAGGGGCTATAAGCCTCAGTCTCTGCTGCTATATAATAAGACCTCACGGCATGGGGAAAGCATACACAAAGAGCCCTGTACTTCCTAGGATTCTGCAGCTGTGTATTATGAAACCCCAACGCCAAATAGCTTAAGAAAAACAGGGATGTCCTGGCTGTGTTAGGAGGGACAGGTAAATTGAATCCCCAGCACAGGTGGTCCTGCGATGCCTCTGCTTCACTCTGTCCTGTGTGTTCCTAATAGTAAACCCTACACAGCTCCCCAGGAACCCCTAATATGAGCAGTAGGGACAGGCCATTGACAATTCAAGATTCATGCAGTCTTTGTCCTCTGTGCAGAAAGGGACAGAGTGAAACAATAGGGCTGCTAATAGACCTGAGAACAGACAACCCCAAACTGTCAACAGATCTCCCCCTAGAAATTACAGCACTTTGATTGGAGCAGAGCAATTAAGACTGGGTGGTATTTTAAACACCCAGTTTGTAGGCAAGCAAAAAGGCTAGAACAATCTAAATCCGACAGCTTCTCAGCCAAAGCCCTTCCCAATCAACAAGAGTCCTCACTGGGCAGAGTGGTGGCAAGATGGGCAAAGGAGAGACTAGGCCCAAGCGGCAGGCAGAGGAAAGACAGAGGTGTCTAGCAATGCCACCAGAGCAGGTGCTCCAGCCTGTCCCTCCCACCGAAAATCTCTAGAACTGATTTCATGAAGAAATGATCCAGAAAGTCAAATCCCAGCTGATTGTGAGGAATATAGGTAAGGAAGGAACTGGGTGGGATGGGGGCAGGGAAGCTGGACTTGTTCAAATCTATTTTGTATTCTAGATTTTACTTTGGACCCTTATAACTAACATACTACATAACTATAAAACAAAATTTATGTTTTTGGTTTTAGGGTGGTTTTTTTTTTTTTTTTTTTTTTTTTTTTTTTGTATTTTGAGATAGGGTTTGGCTATGTGGCCCTGGCTGATCTGGAGCATGCTATGTATATCAGGCTGGCCTTGAACTTATGTTGATCCTCTGGCCTCTGCATCCCAGTGCTTGTGTTGCAAGCCTACCTTGTATGGCCTTGTAGCTCATGCCTAATTTCAAAACTGAAATTTGAAAAGCAATCCCTGATTTCTAGGAGTGGTGGCACATGCCTGCCTAAGGAATAAAATGAAAAGCAACCCTGGTTATCAAAACTAAAACAAAAGAACATAAACGTACATCCAGTCAGTAGCACAATCCCAGAGAGGATTTGAAAGCACACTGGCTCAACTCTGCAACCTAGTGGCATACATCCTAAAGATGGAAAGGCTGTACAAATGTTAGGGCTTCACTAATGCTGTTTTCTTTTCTTTTCTTTTTTTTTTTTTTTTTTGTTTTTTTTGAACCCGGGTCCCCCTGTACCCCCAGTTGTCCTGCATCTTTCTAGGTAGCCCAGGCTGCCTTTGAACTCCAGGATATCCCCCTGCCTCTGCCTCCTGAGTGCTGGGACTACAGGTGTGTGCCACCACGCCTGGCATTTTTTTTTTTTTTTGGCCAGTAATTTTTTTTTTTTTTTAAAAAAAAAAAAAAAACAAATAGCCCAGGCTGGCCTCTAACTTGCTTATTTAGCTGAAGATGACCTTGAACTCTGGGATTACAGATGCTTACCACAGTACCCAGTGGTAATTCTACTACTGATAGTAGTATAGTATTGCTATCACTATTCTGTGTGTGTGTGTGTGTGTGTGTGTCTGTGTCTGTGTGTCTATGTGTCTCTGTGTCTGTTCTGAGACAGAGTAAATGAATAATTATGTAATAGTCATTTCTAATGCCTGGAGAACAACATTCTTAGTGGGAGGGTAAGGAGAGAGATGTAAAACCCATGGCCTTCACTGGTGAGTCAAATCATCACTGGAGAATGGAGAAATTAAAGGAAAGAAAGCTGGGCATGTGCCACCATGCTCATAGTCCCAGCACTCAGGAGACAGAGGCATGAGGATTGCCCATGAGTCTGAGGTCAGCCTGGTCTACATAGTGAGTTCTAGGCCAGCCAAGGCTACATAGGGAGACCCTCCCTCAAACATACACACACACATGCACACACACACACACGCACGCACGCACGCACGCACACACACACACACACGCACACACATCTGCTGAACCCTGGGGAGTCTAGTGGCCGAAATGGGAGTATGTTTCTTCATATCGATGTAACCCCCAACATTTAGTGAATCTGGGCATTGTGTTTCAGCAACTTGCAATGCCCCAGAAAAGACATACCTTCTTAATAAAGCTGTCTTTGCCAAAACACAAAACACCAGCCAAATGCTAGTCAGGCCACTGATGAAAAAACTAAATAAACACTCCAGCTTCGCTGGTTCTAAAAATCGCTAATTCAGGAGGTCACACAGCCAGGCCACACGTCATTCACTTCCTGCTAGCTTTGAAGCAGAGAACATCTCTGAGCTGTGGGTTATGTTAACAGTTGCCTAGGTTACTTTTCAGGAACCTGAGGCTGCTCTTGCTGAAAGCACTGACTCACTTGGGCCTGCAGACGTCTGACAGGGTGACTGGGACAGGATGAAACAACTTGGCCCATCTGTCTTCCTCCTTACTGTTTTGACCTTTGAGTCAGATTCTACTCAACTCTGTGTGTGGACATGCTGGTCAGTAACAACAACAGCAACAAAAAAACATGATACAAGGCTACCCTGACCCACACTTGCTCAGCCTCTTTTCCCCACTTAAGGCTTCAGACACCATAACTATATGTACCAGACCAGGAAAGGAGTAAAAAGAGGCTAAATTAGCCACCAGATTGGCTCTTATCTCATACAAGAAAGAAAGCATCTTTTGAGATCATGGCTATGACCAGTGGAAAATTTCTGGGCTTTAGCCTAGCCCAGCAAACCAATAAAAGCTTGCCTCTCTCTTTGTCTGGAGAACAATCTGACCTTTCTCTCTCAATCAGTGCTGGGCCTTTCTGCTTAAGTTGAAGTTGGGAAGCTTGGGCTGATGTCCCAATAAAGCTTTTGCTTGCGCAGATGCTCCTGACTCTGGGCTTGCTTCGCATTTCTGTCATTTCCGTCAAAAGATTTTGCCTCTGGTAACAGTAATCCCTTCAGATCAACTATTAATTTACAAGTAAATGATAATAGCTGGGTGTGGTGGCACACGCCTTTAATCCCAGCACTGGGGTGGATCTCTGTGAGCTCGAGGCAAGCCTGCTCTACATAGTGAGTTCCAGGACAGCTGGGGCTACAGGGAGACCCTGTCTCAAAAAGACCAGAAAAAAAAGATAATGAATAAAGTTAGAGGAGCAAGTTAAACCACATTGTGGGCAAGTCATCAGGAAGATCTGAAGTGAGGGAAAGTCTAGGGAAAAGTAATTATTTTCTTTATAAAAAACAGGTGCTATTGGCTGGGCATGGTAGCTCATGCTTTTAATTCCAGAACTTGGGGGGACAGACAGGTGGATCTCTGTGAGTTCCAGGCTAGCCTGGTCTACATAATGAGTTCCAGGACAGTCAGGGCTACATAATGAGACCCTGTCTCAAAAAACAAAACAAAACAAAAAAGGGTGCTAGAGAGATTGCTCAGTAGTTTAAAATGCACTCTGCTCTTGCAGAGGACCCAAGTTTGATTCCTAATACCCACATCAGGCTGCCTGTAACTCAAATTCCAGGGAATCCCGTGGCTTCTTCTGGACTCTGTGGGCACCTGCACTCACACATGCACAGACCCCCACACAGACACATTCATATACACATAACTGAAAATAAAAAAATATTTTTTAGAAATGGATTTCAAGGTCAGGCATAGTGGCTCATGTCTTTAATCCCAGCGTTTGGGAGGTAGAGGCAGGCAGATCTCTGTGAGTTCCAGGCTAGTCATGGCTGCATAGTAAGACCTAGGCTCAAAAACAATTTAAAGGGGCTGGAGAGATTGCTCAGTGGTTAAGAACACTGCTTGGTGTTGCAGAAGACCCAGGTTCAAATCCCAGCACCCACATGGTAGCTAACAAGTGTCCGTAACTCCAGTCCCAGGGGATCCGACAGCCTCTTCTGACCTCCGTGGGCATTGCATGACATGGGTGCACTTACCTACATGCAGGCAATACACGCATACACATAAAATAAAAATAAATAAAATTTAAAAAACAATTTTAAAAAGAGAATCGCAAGGCAACAGAGGGGATCCACCAAATTCAAGAAAAATCAAAAGATATAACAATTGGACTGGGGTAGACTCAATGGTAGACTGTTTACTTAGCGTGCACGAAGCCCTGGGTTTGATCTAGTAATCTACATGAATGTGTAGATTTTATCTGAACCTTGATTCAAGCCAACTGAAAAAAGCATTACTTTTTTTCTGGGCATAGTGATAGGTTAAAATGTTGGGGAGAGCGAGCGGATGGAGGAAGGCACCGAGGCACAGATGGAATTCTCAGCGGGATACAGCTTTATTTCGCATGGGGCACCTTTCCCTTGGGGAAGGGAAAGATGTCAGGGAAGGGAAGGGAAAGATGTCAGCGAAGGGAAAGATGTCAGGGAAGGGCAGGGGAAAGATGTCAGCCCACGGGCTGTGAGCTGGGACTTTATATATGGGGGCTTTAGGGTGTAGAAGGGAGGAATGTTTGGGGGAGAAATCAGGGAGGGGGAAGCAGGAAAAGCAGGTAGGATTAGGGTCTGGAAGTGTTTACTTTTTCCCTCTTAAGATAAGAGAAAAACAGCTTCTAAAATCTCTGGTTATCAGGTAGAATCTGCTTATCCTATCTTTGGAGGTCAGAGGAAAGGCAGGCTGCTTCTCAGCAGAGTTTGTTTCCCTTGACTTCAAAGGTCAAGGTGCTTATCAGCTAAGTTCCCTTTTTCGGGCTCCAAAGTCTGTAGGTCCCTGTTGGGGAGGGGGGAAGCTGCTGCTGTTTGGAACCCTAACACATAGTGGTATATGCCTGTAATCCTAGTACTCTGAAGATCATCCTGGGGTTAAGAGTTCCAGACTGGCTTCATAATAATGAGACCCTGTCCCCAAAAGCAAAGTAAGATCTTTTTAACATTGAGTAAGATGCTGCATTATATTCAAGAAATATTGTTAAGCCTTTAGGTGTAATGATGAAATTACAGTTATGGTTTGAAGAGTTTTTTTTTTTATCTTGGCAATCCATACTAAACTCATATAAAACAAAGGATGTGATGTGTTAGACATGGTACCTAAGAATCTGGAGGAGGGGGCCGACAAGATGGTTCAACCCGAGTTGGATCCCAGGGATCCACATGGTGGAGGAAAGAGAGAACTGAAGGGTCACAGATGAAACAAGACAAAACCCGTGGGAGCTGAGGGACAAATATCTGAGCTCATGATATTGTCCCCACTACTTAGTATATGCTTGAAGGTTTGCACAAAATGAAGCCATCAACAGGGATGCTGTACCTCACTGAAGCCTGGGACCACAATAATCCTGTGGAGGCAAAGTACAGAAACCTACCTAGTCTGGCCTGAGGTTCCTGTTGTTAGAGCTGTGGCCCTGGCTACCCCATAGTAGGACATTGCCAACCCAGGATCCTAGGAAAGTTTTAAGGATGGACCTGGTACTGGGGGCCCGGGGCCGGGGAAGCTGTTACTAGTGCCCTCATCATTTGACCATCCTGCATGCAAAGATTTTGGCATAGGCATCCCCTAAGGGCAGAACTTGGACTTTCCCAATGAGTTTGACTTCCAGGATTACTCAGGACATAAAGGTTACTCTGGCCACCTGGAAACTGTCCTCCCTTAGACGTCAGCAGCCAAAGGTGGTGCGCCCTGGGTCAGGCTTGGGTGATAGAGCTTTGATGATCCCCGCCAGTCTAGTCACTTGTCCTCTGATGCAGCTTCCCTAACTTTCCTCTCTGGAGCCAGGCATGCTCAGATGCCTGCCAAACCTTTCCACTTCCCTTAGTGGACCTGTGCTCTACTCCAGGCCACCCCTCCAGCCTTGTTGTGGCTTCAGGAGGTACAGACTCTTCTTCCCTGAATAGGAAGGTCTCTTGAATGCTTCCAAAGATGCAGATTTCCAGGGGATAGGGGAAGCATATGCAGTTTGACAATTCCTGTTTCGTAGTTCAGAGTCCTTTTATCTGCCCATTCATGCCATCATCAAAGCTAAAAGATGTGGGGTTGTATAGAAGAGAGATAGCCTGGGATGGGGATGGTTGGTGGCCTCCTGCATAGTCACCTTGGCCTGGTGACCCAGCCTCCAGGGTACCAGTCGCTCACCTCTGGTACTGTTGCTGTTGGTATAGGTGAAGAGGCTTGCTTGGGTGCTGTCCTCGTAGCTGTCTTGTGTCTGCCCACCTGCAAGTCTTTGGGGAGCCCACTGCTGGGCCATGACTCTGGAAGACACTCTCCCTGGAACCTGCCAGTCTTGGCACACTGCCTGGGGGGGGTCACAGGACTTTATACCAGCGTGCAGGATCAGCCTAGGCTTACTCACCTTAAGGGCTCCCAAACCCTTCACCACGTGATCTCTTAATTGGGCCCAGGACTTAGACCTCTCCCTCCCACCCTCATTTCCCTGCTCCTAAGGCCAGCCCATAAGGGTGGCTTAGGGCCATTTCTTGGCAATAGAACACAGACACACACCTCCAGCTTGCAGTAGAGCTCGTGGGAGTCACTGTGACCCATACTTACATTTCCATGTCTTCTGTTTCTTTCTACTGTTATAGGTCAGGCAGACTCAAGGATGGGGTTTATGGGTTTGGGTTTGAGCAGAGAAGCAGTCCAAAGCTCCAGTCTGCCTCCCTTGTCTGGTTCTGCTGAAGCCCCTGGAAATCTTTCAGGCCAAGGCCTGGAACAAGACTGCACTGTAAGATAGAGCTTGTCAGTGGGCCCAGTGGGTACAGTATGTGCCAGTGGGACTGCTTCCGTGGGATGAAGGACAGGCTCTGACCAACCGTGTATCTTGCTTTCAGCTTTGGCCCTCTCCTTCCCCATGAACTGCATCTCTTACAGTCCCCAGTGGGGGCCCATGTAGGCCTGTCCAGCCACCTGGTACAGCACTTGAACATGTCCACATGGTGCTTCCCTTCTGCCTGTTCAAGTTCACAGACTTTTCTTGGATGGCCCCTGGCTGCTGGCTGCTTCTTGGCAGTGTCTAGGCAAGCAACATCACTGTCCTTCTTTGCCCACAACAGTGTGGCTGCTGGCTCTCCACCTGGTATGGGGTGCCAACTCCCTGTACATTGCCAGTTCCAAGCAGGGATCCTTATTTCCCCTCCATGGCCCCTGCAGGGACCACATCCTTTCTCAAGGGTTCCACCAGCTCCTCTCTACTCAGTCCTGAAATTCAGCTGCTTTGGGGCACCTTGGGTTGGCTTCTTGGGCTCAGCAAACCATATGGGCTAGTAGTCTCCATATTTCCACTCTCAGTGTCACAATTCTTCAGCACTCTTGGCTGCAAGATTAAGGGGCCTCTTCGGCTGGCACAGGGGAAGTCCTGGCTGCCAAGCTGAAGGCTGGAGCCAGGTAGAACCTCTGTGCGGGTACCCAACCCAAAGTGGTGGCTCTGTGTGGAACTGAGTCTTGGTTACAGCTTTGCTAGAACCCAGCAGCAGCCTGGAAAACACATGTCTGCACAAAACTCAGACACAGATGTTCACAACAGCACTCTCCACATGAGACCAAAAGGGACAAACAACTCAAACATGTGTGGCCAGATGATTAAATAAATAAAACAAATGTGGTCTCTTTGTGCAAAAGAGTATCATTCAGCCTTAACAAGCAATGGAGTATTTTTGCATGCTGCAGAGTGGAAGAATCCTGAAATAGAATGCTAAATGAAAGAAGCTAGATGCCAAAAGCTGAATAGTATATGATTCTAGGACAGCAAATATACGGAACAGGCAAATCCACTGAGACAGAAAGCAGGTTCGTTATTACCACTCATGGGGGAAGGGAGATTGTAGTGATCCTGCTTTTTATTTTAAAATTTTATTTATTTTTACTTCACGTGTATAAGCGTTTTGTGTGCATGTAAGTGCACACATATGTGCAATACCTGTGGAGGTCAGAAGAGTGTGTCGGATCCCCTGGAACTGGACTTACAGATGGTCGTTAGTTGCCACATGGATGCTGGGAAATGAATTTGGGTCCTCGGCAAGAGCAGCCAGCGCTCTGAACTGCCGAGCCATCTCTCCAGAACCTTCTTTTTATTTATTTTTTTATTACGACCCGGGCATAGTGGCACATACCTTTAATCCCAGCACTTGGGAGGTTGACGCAGGCAGGTCTCTGTGAGTTCAAGGCCAGCTTGGTCTACATAGTGAGTTCCAGGCCAGCTGGGGTTACAAGGAAACCTTGTCTCAAAAAGACAAATAAATAGATAAATAAATAAATAATTTTTGTTACATTATTTATTTGTATATGGGGGGGGCATGCTGTGGCATTCACGCAGAGGTCGAACAACAGCATGCAGGAATTAATTCTGTCCTTCTACCATGTGGGTCCCAGGGATTGTTAGGCTTGGTGGCAGGTACCTTTACTCACTGAACCATTTTGACAGCCTGGGAATGCTTCCTTAGTAGGTACAGGGACTCCTTTGTGGGTGATGCAAATGTTCTAGAACTAGATACTGATGGTGCAGTCACTGTGTAAAAACAGTTTTGTTGCTCCTGAAAAATAGGGGGGATTTGTTTTGTGACAGGGTCTTGTATGGACCAGGCTGACCTGAAACTCAATAAGTAGCTGAGGGTGACATTGAACTCCAGATCTTTCTGCAGGGATTACAGGTGCATCACAGTATACAGTTTCTGTATTGCCAGGGATTGAACCCAGGGCTTCATGCATGCTCTACCAACTGAGCTATAGCCCAGCCCCTTCTGAAAAATTTTAAATATGGAATTATCATGAAATCCAAAAGACTTGAAAATAGGGTCATAAAGAGAAACTTGTACAACCGTCTTCATAGCAGCAATATTCCTTACTGGGAAGAGGTGGACACAAGCCTAGTGTGCATCAATGGATGAATGATAGACAAGGCATGTCCTATCCATACAGTGAGACATTACCCAGCTTAGAAAAGGAAGGGAATTCTGATACATGCAACAATGTGAATGACCCCAAGGGCATGATGCTCAGTGAAATGAGCCAGGCACAAAAAGACAAATACCCCACTTCTAGGAGGTCTCTATAGTAGCCAAATTCATAGCAGGTAGGCTGGTGACTGGTAGGGACTAGGGCATGGGGCAATTGAGAGTTTATGTTTTGTGGGTACAGGCTTTAAGTTGTACAAGATGAACAGGTTCTGGAGATGGAGGTAGTGACAGTTGCACAGCATCATGATCATCCTTAACCCCACTGGATCATCCATTTGAAAATGACTAAGATGGTAAGTTTTGGTATGTTGTATCACGTATGTCAAAGGCAAAGGGTCAAATGATTCTTTGTCCTATAGCTGTTAATGACAAAACCTCTGGCCTGCTGGATAGAGCTGAGAGCTAAATGAAGGTGACAGACGGCCCCCAAAACCCCTAATAAGCTCAGTCTCATGAAGTCACTTAGGAATAGTTGGATTAGAGACTAACAGCCATAATGGCTGTCCAACCCAGGGAGCAGGCTAGATGCCATCAAACATCTTTTTATCTTATCTTTCAACTGGGTGCGCTTTCAGAGCCCAGCCAGGTCCCCCTGAAGGTTGACTTTCTGGACCCCTGTGACCTCGTGGTTCTTGCTCTGTGGCCTCCTCTCTGGACCACATCAGGTAGTTGTGACTGCTCTGAATTTTCTAGGTTTTGATTGAGCTTCTCCCAGGACCCCTCAAATTGACTCTCCACTCTGGTTGTGAACATCCAGGGCTGCCATGTTGTTGGGAAATGGTTGACAAAGTTGTTCTTTGTCTGCTAGCTAAATCAGCCACTGGTTTTTAACTATAAAGTCCTTAACCTGCTATATAGAGCTAAGGGTGGACTGGAGGTGACTGCTTCCAGAACTAGTAAGCTTTCCTTTGTGAAGGTGAAGCGCTATGTAAATGGAGGCCCTGCAGCGAGTGAGGTATCTGGGGGAACCTCCAGGCTTGCTTGAGTTCCAGAGCTAGTTCTCTACCTGCCTTGCTTGGCTTTGTATATGATTATGTTAATGACTGTTCACTGCAGTGTTACCCATGGGGTCGGCAAGATAGGAACCTGTCCACAGGACCCTGCGGAAGAAACGTGGAGGTGGGAGAAGTAGGAGGAAATGGGGCAAGACAGTTCTGGGTCTTGGGGTCCCGGCACTGCTGGGTACTAATTGATGATTAGGGCTAACAGAAGATCAAGTCTTAATTTAGCCTAAGGCAGATTATTGCCCTAGAAAGTCCTCAACACCTGTGAGGGCAATGAGCTCCCCAGCTCTAGTGAGAGCTCCCTGGGCCTCCAGTAAGAGTGGGAGATAGGGGAGGGGCCTTGGAAAGAGAGATAAAGGGCAAGGCTGGGGTGAAAACAGGTGTAGAAAGGAACAAGGGCAATGGGGGGAAGGAAAAAGAGCTTGCGTATCAGCACCCTTGGCTCTACCCCCACCCCAGCATCATCTGCCACCCTTCCTGCCAGCTGGTGTTCTGGAAGCCTGGGAAGATTAAATGTCAAACTTGTCTCTAATCTGACTATTTCTAAGTGACTCTGCAAAGGGGAGCTTATTAGGGGTTCTGGGGTCTGCCTGTCATCCTCACTCAGCTCTCCAGTTTATCTGGCAGGTCAGGGACTTTATTGGAAACAGCCGATGGCAGAACTCGAAAGAGGACAAGGCAACTTTGGATCATTTGCCCTCTGGAGTTACAAATGGTTGTTAGCTGCCATGTGGCTGCTGAGAATTGAACCCAGGTCCTCTGCAAGAGCAGCCAGTGCTCTATAACTACTAAGCCATCTCTCCAGTCTGTCTGGAACTTTTTCTTTATCTAGCAAAACCGAAACTCAGCAACCATTAAGTATTCCCTCCTTGCTCCTCCCTTCAGTCCCTGGAAACTATCCCTCTACTCTGTGTGAATCTGGCTGCTCTGGGGACCTCCTAGAACTGGACTTACACAGTATTCATCTTTTACTGCCTGGCTTCTTTTACTGAGTGTCATGTCTGCGAGGATCATTCATTACTCTTGACTTTGTATTTGGAATAGATTTACATCTATTGAATTTTTTATGTGGTAAAATATGACTATGTTTCTATTTTAGTTCCTGGCTTTTTAAAAAAGTGTGTGTGTGTGTGTGTGTGTGTGTGTGTGTGTGTGTCTGTGTGTGTGTGTATGTCTGTGTCTGTGTGTCTGTGTGTGTGTCTGTGTCTGTGTGTGTCTGTGTCTGTGTCTGTGTCTGTGTCTCTGTGTATGGAGGTCTGAGGTCAACGTTAGGTGGCTTCCTCAATTGCTCTCCACCTTATTTTCTGAGACGAGGTCTTTCACTGAACCT